AGAGAGAGTGCGAGGGCAGAGAAAGAAAGAGAGAGAGAGAGAGTGAGAGAGAGAAAACTAGTTTACGGAAGCTTTCGGGAAGCCTGAAGCTCCAGCTCTGGGAAACTAGCGGTCTCGGCGCCCGGTCACTTGTCGGAAAAGCCGAGCTAAACCCGATTGATCATCGGAGAGGTAGGCGGGCTAGCAATCATTCTTTGGAAAGCGCAGGCTAGCAGAGATCATTCCCGAACCCATCACTACCACGACTAAACACTTCCAGGCCTCTCCGTCGGATCCGTGCAGCTGCAGAGTTGTGCACTTCGGCTGGCATCGCATGATCTCCCACAGCACCCACGTCGCCAACGTCGACGTGCCGATGAGCGGCAAGGGCGGGGAAAGGATCAGATGAGGAGAGAGGCGAGAGTGTGAGGAAGAGCGAGAAACGGCTACCAAACACTACACTTCACACTGGGTACCCCTTGTGTTACATGGCCTCTGTACATTTGCGACAATAAAGTTCATTTTATTTGGCGGAAATTTGTGACAGTATGCACCGATTTTGAGCACCAGGTCTGTAAGTGTCCAGGGAGAGCGGTTTAGATTATGAGCTCGACCTCGGCCCCGGATTGGGTTCTCATGGGGCGGGGCGTCGTCTTGCGTACGTCAATCTTCTGGATGGGCTCTTCGCCGCCTGAAAGAGCTTCGTGATCTCTGCTAGCCTGCCCTTTCCTAAAGAATCTCTGCTAGTCTGCCCTTTCCTAAAGAATCTCAGCCTGCCCTCCCTTACAAAAGACTCTACTGCTGCCCTTCCCTAAAGAACTCTCTGCCAGCCTGCCCTTTCCCAAAGAATCTCGGCTAGCCTGCCCGTTCCTAAAGAATCTCTGCTCACCAAAACCTCCTCGCGGTGCCTCTGTCGGGCTGTCGATGTGCATCTTGAAGGCTTTTTCGACGTCTTCGCGAGAAGGGCTTCTGAAGAACAAAATTGGTAAAATGGTGGGTTTAAAGGAACTGAGAAGGTACCAAGTTGCCTTACCTTTGCATCGACTTGGTCTGTCCATCGCCGGATCGACTGAAGAAAGGTCTTTTTTAGAGTGAGAGAGAGAGAGAGAGGAAGAGAGTGTGAGAGGGGGGAGAGAGAGAGAAAAAGAAAGAGCGAGAGAGACAGAGAGATGGAGGGGGGAGAGGGGAGAGAGAGAGAGGAGAGAGAGAGAGAGAGAGAGAGAGAGCGCACGAAAGAGAGAGAAACTTACTCCTTGAAGTTGAACCCGCTGCTGGCGTCGCTGTCGCGAGTTCCCCAGTTCGCGCTGGAAAAAGTCGCTTTCATTGTCAAGCTTAGCTTAAATATCAGACTTATTTGGAGCGACTGAGTTATAAGTATCAAAAAATAACATTTCTTTGATTGATATAATTTTCTATAAATTTAACTCACCCCTGACCACCAGTATTGTCATTGTTATTATTATTGTTGTTGTTGTTGCCATTCCAATTTCTAAAAAACCTAGTTCTGGCTTTTTGAGATAATTTATACCCAGAATTTCCTCCATTGTTGTTGTCATTATTGTTGTTGTTCCAGTTGGCTCTAAAAAAAATTAAAATAAGCGACAAAAAATGGATACAAACCCGCCCGGGCCGTTGTTGTTGTTGTTCCAGTTGTGGCCTCTAAAAATATATGTAAGAAAGCGAGAGAAAAAGAGAGAATGAGAGAAAGAGAGCAAGAGAGAGAGAGAGAGAGAGAGAGAGAGAGAGAGAGAGAAACGTACGCCATATGCGAATACGCGCCCACGTTGCACCGATCCGTGGAGCAGCAGCAGAAGTGGACCGGAATGCCTTGGAAATTCATCCCGATGCACGAGTCTTGGGCGAGCTGAAATTCCTCAATGATCTCTGCTAGCATACCCTTTCCTAAAGAATCGCTGCTAGCCTGCCCTTTCCTAAAGAATCTCTGCTAGCCTGCCCTTTCCTAAAGAATCTCTGCTAGTTTCCTTCGCGCCTCTGCCTTCATTTTTAAAGTGACACCAACATACCATACAGCGCCACCGCGAGCACCCGGCCTTCATCAAGTCGACGAACACGGCCACCTGGGCCGACATATTGTAGCAGAACGCCCCCGAGCCGCAGTCCTCCGTCGTCTCGCCCGTCGAGCCGCCGTTTAGGATTTTATGTCCCTAAAATCGGTTTTTTTGCTGGATAAACCGATCAAAATTACGTTATAGCATGTCAACGCTGCAGCCGTGGCTAAAAATAGCGTAACTAGGAGAAGGCGTAGCATCTGAAAATGGCAGCTGAAGATCGGTAATTCGGGCTTAGGGTACGGAGGATAATAACGTCATAAATATGCATCAAGAGGGCCAGAAAGCCGGAAAAAAAACAACAAAGGTTGCAGAGGGCTAGCAGACGAGCATGCTAGCAGAGACGATTTGGGATGGCAGGGAAGCTAGCAGAGATTCTTTAGAAAAAGGCAGGCTAGCAGAGATTCTTTAGGAAAGGGCAGGCTAGCAGAGATTCTTTAGGAAAAGGCAGGCTAGCAGAGATTCTTTAGAAAAAGGCAGGCTAGCAGAGATTCTTTAGGAAAGGGCAGGCTAGCAGAGATTCTTTAGGAAATGGCCTTTGTACTTCAACGGCCCAAAACAAGAAACAAGATCCTGTTTTCATGGCCCAGGGGTCCCCAACGGAAAATCGAATCGAGCTGGGCAGCTGTTCGATCTGGTGTATTTATCAAAGGGGTCGTAGACAAGAGAGAGAGAGAGAGAGAGAGAGAGAGAGAGAGAGAGAGAGAGAGAGTACGCGAAAACACCATCAACGAGGCCCAGACTCCACTGGGGGGGGCAATTAACACCCGGTGAATCATCGGGCTGAACCGGTTTTTCATAAGCTATTTTCCGGGGGCCCTTGTGATGACGAAAAATCGAGGCAGGCCAGCAGAGATCAATTGCGGAAATTTAGGCCTTGACAGTAATAATAATAATTTATTTATTAAGTGCAAACGTGAGATCAGAATTCGGGCATCTGGCGCTGGTCGTCAACGAGTCGCTGGAAGGCATTTTGGACGATGAAGTCGACGTTTTTGCGGGCCATCGGCCGCTGCTCGGGGTCGCGCTCGACGGCTGGCAGTCTGAAAGCAGTACGACATGGAAGTAGCCGTTTTAAAGGGACTGGCAAGGCAGAAAGCTGCCACCTATCTCGAAACTCACGTGATGACGCTGGCCAGATTGCGGACGAGCTCGGAGTTTAGGCTGGCGGTGGAGGGGAGCGGTTTGAAAGGGGACTCCTGGAAGGGCGGATTCTCAAATGATCTCTGCTAGCCTGCCCTTTCCTAAAGAATTTCTGCTAGCTTGCCCTTTCCTAAAGAATCACTGCTAGCCTGCCCTTTCCCAAATTCTCTCTGCCCCCATTATAGTACTCCCAACTACCGTACCTGTCGAGAGACTAGCGGCGTGATCGGACTCATCCCGACCCGCGTCTGTGCCCCGAGGGCATTCGTCGCGAGACCCAGACCACCCAGTCGGTCTCCAAAAAGTCGCCTCGCCGTCGCCAGCGCCCTCTCGGCCTCCACCCCAGATAAGTCGTCGATACCGAAGCGCTGAAAAGGGCCCTAAGCCTTGAAGAAGTTGATGCCCCACCTTGGCCAACTGCTTCAACTGGTCCCGCATGGCTGGTGTGGCGCCGATTTGGCGGAGGTAATCTGGAAATGGAGGTTGAGCTTAAGCCCAAGCCTAAGCCCAAGCCTAAGCTAAGCCTAAGCCTAAGCCTAAGCCTAAGCCTAAGCCTAAGCCTAAGCCTAAGCCTAAGCCTAAGCCTAAGCCTAAGCCTAAGCCTAAGCCTAAGCCTAAGCTTTGCATTTTACCTGCAATCTGCGGACTGGGCTTCGATTCTTCGTCCCTCGCTTCGGCCACCCGAATCGTGGGATGAGTGCGTTTCTGGAGGTTAATGGAGCTTGCCAACGAAATTTCTTTCCCGTCTCTCTCGCTCTCTCTTTTTCCTTCTCTATCTCTCTCTATCTCTCTCCCTCTCTCTCAGTGGTACCCCACCGGAAACACCAGAATTTGCTGCTGATCCGAATCCGTACGGCCGTCAAAAGCTCTCGGTCGGCTCAGTTGGATCGGCTCGGCAGCAGCGGCCCGGTTTACTGTAATTCCCCCCGCTCTACGCCTACACTGCCCAATTCCAACCTGACTGTCTTGGGTCCCGCAACGGCTGGGGTGATGGTGTCATGAAGATGGGCATGGCAGGGGTTGGCAGCTGAAAATAGCCTTTAAAGGGGTGTGACAGGTACCGCGAAGGCCGGGCTGTTCATGTTGACGATGCTGGGCGAGATGGGGAGGGAGGCGAACTGAAAGCAGGGTGTTTTACGGGGCTTGGAAGGAAAAAAAGCCGTAGTTAGTGCTAGCAGAGATTCTTTAGGAAATGGCAGGCTAGCAGGGACCATTTTGGACAGGTCCGCTTACCTGCGGTATGGCTGGTGGGAGCCCTCCAAAGGGTAGTGGGTTGAAAGCGGCTGGCGGAGGTGTCTAAAGGAGTGTGACGGTAAGAGAAAGCGAGAGAGAGCGAGAGGGAGAGAGAGAGAGAGAAAGAGAGAGAGAGAGAGAGAGAAAGAGAGAGCTAGACTCATCCTACCAGTGGCAGCGGGGGCAGCTCGTCCAGCTGCTGCAGGGCCGTCAACCGTTGTATCGTCTCGGAACGCATCGGACGAATAGCGGGGGCGCTTTCTTCTAAAAATCGAATGCTCGCTCTCTCCCTCTCTCGCTCTCTCTCTCTCTCTCTCTCTCTCTCACTTACCGCAACCCAGCTCTTTTCCGCCGGCATCGACAAGTCGCGTATTCGTGACTGCGAGTCGACCGCTTGGCGAAGTTTTGACGCGGATGAGGACGCGGACCGGAAGCGGGGTCACGCTGGAGGAAAAATGAGCTTAGGCTTAGCTTAAACTCGCCGTGCTGGCGTTTAATAACTTACCGTAACGGAATCCGCACCGAATTCCATCCAGGACCCGCGAACTTCCCGTCCTGCACCCAGATTAGCTCCTCGTCGAGCCCCGTCGTCGTCAGGATCGAGATTTGCGAGGATTCGCTAGAAAATATGGTTTTGAAGGCGTAAGCTATTTGGGCTACAAACTATGAAAAAGGCACCTCGACAAAATGTCGATCTGGAGATGACCATTCTGAGGAATGAGGATGGAGGGGGAGGAAAGGGTAGCCACACGCTTGCCCCCGATTACGGCTCGACCCCGGCCGGCTGTCCAATAGCCGGAAGAACTCCTGAAATGAGGATAGGCTAGCAAAGATTCTTTAGAAAAGGGCAGGCTAGTAGAGATGTTTTAGGAAAGGGGCCGGCTAGCAGAGATTCTTTAAGAAAGGGCAGGCTAGCAAAGAGCATTTGAGAAGGAGGCAAGCTAGCGAGATCATTTTCGAGACTTACCAGTCGCAAAATGACCCCTCGAATTCGCACGCCAGCGCCGGGCAGCTCTCCTCCTGGCTTCGTCGATTTGCTAGGTATGAGTTTTAAGGATCAAGCAATTCTGGCCTTATTGGAAAAGTTGCCATCTCCCCCGATAATGCCAAAGAACCATCATTTTAGGTCTTAAAGCACCCACCAGGGGCCCTCCGTACAAAGTCCTCTGAGTGACGATCTTTTCTAAAACTTGATTGTTGTTTTCTCCCTCTCTCTCTCTCTCTCTCTCTCTCTCTCTCTCTCTCTCTCCCTCCCACCTATCAAGGCTGAAGGCCAGCTTTGGATGTAACGCGTCTCTGACCACCCGATCGAAGCGTATATCGTCGAGGGCCACAACGTCGAACGAATTCTGGATGCCGGAAACTTGGAAGACGATCTGGAGCGAGGATTTGTCATTTTTTACTACCGTATCGGCTCACCCTCCCTGCGCCTTCTCCTGGAGGTACCACGACCGTCCGCGGGTTCCATTGGAGAAGTCCAACACCGATTACTGTAGAAAAATTTGAGATCGATCTCGTTCTATCTTGCTCTCGCTCTCTCTCACTCTCTCACCTGAATCGATACACCGGGACGTCCCATCTTCCGAATCGAGGATAATCTGGAAGCAGTGTATGGAAGACTACGCCTAAGCCCACGCCTAAACCCAGCCTAAGCCTTAGCCTAAGCCTACGCCTAAGCCCAGCCTAAGCCTTAGCCTAAGCCTAAGCCTAAGCCCACGCCTAAGCCCAAGCCTAACCCAAGCCTAAGCTTCCCGTAAGCCTAAGCCAAGCCTAAGCCTAAGCCCAAGCCCCAACTCACATTGATCTTCGTCGAATGCGTACTCTTCGCGAACAGGAAACGAATCCTCCTCGGCCGGCCGTCAGTAGATGACCAACCACTCCCCGTCACATTTCCTTGACTGACACCACCGAAGCGCCCTTGTGCTGCCACGAAGCGGGAATCTAGAGAAAGCAAGGTTGAAGTTAAGCCCAAGCTTTTTGTTGCATAACGTAGCCGGGGAGCACGAACTCTGCTTTAAAAACCGCTTACTTCGAAAGAGCTGCGCGGGCGGGCCGTTGAAGACGTTTGGGATGTAAATACGGTCCGTGACGAACCAGGGGTCATCGACGACAAAAGGGCAGGGGTGGCGGTCGAAATCGCAGAGATCCTGGCCCCAGGTTAGGGGGATCAGGAGGATGAGGATGAGGATCATCGCATACTGTAGAAGGGAGGGTTAGAGAGAGAGAGAGAGAGAGAGAGAGAGAGAGAGAGTGAGCGAGAGAGTGAGCGAGAGACAGCGAGAGATAGAGACAGAAGGAGAGACAGAGAGATAGAGGTAGAGAGAGAAAGAGAGAGACAGAGAGCGAGAGAGAGAGAGAGCGAGAGATCGGGAGAGAGAGAGAGACCAAACCTAAATCTCCAATCTCTTTGTTATACTTTAAAAAGCACCCTAGGCGTAATCTTTCCCTCATAAACCCGAAAAAATGACGCGCTTGCCAAAGTAGGCCTCCGGCGCCGGAGGGAGCCTATACAGGGGAGAGCCATTGTGGGGGATGAGTATTGGCGGGGGGATGAGCTGACCTGACTGGGCATATCCAGTCCTTCAGCCTACTCGAGTGCCTATTTTCGGGCTCTGCTTCTCTCTCTATCTCTCTCTCTCTCTCTCTCTCTCTCTCGCATTCTATCGCCGAGGGGGAAAGGGGGGACATGCCAATTCAAGCCAGCGAAAGTCGGCCTAAAAGGCAGGCTTTCAGTATAGAGAGGGAATTCTTGTGGAAAGGAGTCGAATGGAAATGATGGCAGGCTAGCAGAGATTCTTTAGGAAAGGGCAAAAGGGCAAGCTAGCAGATTCTTTAGGAAAGGGCAGGCTAGCAGAGATTCTTTAAGAAAGGGCAGGCTAGCAGAGATTCTTTCGGAAATGGAGCAGCGGCCTAATTTGCATACCAAATCTCGAATATGGTATCGTAAGCCTAGAAATATGCGTATTCCCGCAATCATGGTGTGGGTACTGTGGCTTCTCCTTTTCTTCCTTTGCGCCCTGCTGTTTTGCATGTGCGCCGTGTCGGCCGGCGTCTCTCTCTACCGCTGCTATATGTGGGTCTCCTTCCTAAAGAATCGCTGCTAGCCTGCTCTTTTTTAAAGCACCTCAGCCGCATTTCCATTTTTCAGCGAGCATCGCCGGATCGCGAACGTGCGCGCCGAGATCGAGGCGTTCGACGCGCTGGTGGAGACGGCGCTCACGATGGACCCGTTCGTCCCCATCGGCGATTTGCAGAAACAAGTCCTCAAGGCCAACTGCACGTGCACGTGGGGGTGTCCTAAAGAATCTCTGCTAGCCTGCCCTTGCCTAAAGAATCTTTGCTAGCCTGCCCTTTCCCAAAGAATCTCTGCTAGCCTGCCCTTTCCTCAAGCATCGCTGCTAGCCTGCCCTTTCCTCAATAATCTCGGTTATCTCGCCCCAATTTCAGGATGAAAAGCCTGCCCCGTCCGAACTTGCAGAACATGCCCCGGCTCACCACGCACACCAGCCTCACTTACGTGCGCTCACCGATGCCCAGATAGCCCCCCAAGCAGATCCCCCGGGGCGTTCAAGCTTAAAAAATCACCTTCTACCCGCCAAAACATTTGCAGTGCGTGTGCGATTCAGTTACTTGGATGAATAAAGTCTCTTTTCAAGCAAAAAAACAAAAACAACGTAAAAATCGACAAATGCATCTGGAATCACAACAAAATACGAGAAATTACGTCAAAAATAAGGAATTTCCGGTTGTTGTGAGCTCGTCGGATATCCGCAGCCGCGCCTCATCTACCAGGTCGTTGCACTGCCTTTTCGACGTTGGCGGTGTTGGCTACAACAATCGGATGTTTTTCCTCTCGGAAGGATTGGAGTCAGAATGCCGAAATTCACCAAGTCGAAATTTCCGAGTGCCGAAATCTCAAAATGCCGACATTTTTCACAACGAATTTTTTACGATAGGTTGAGAAATGTAATAATACATGATTTAATAGCGTTTTTAGAAAAATATTACTGTATTTTAAGCGGAGGAACAAGAAAAAGTTAGAAAAGAATCTAGTAAGATAAAGTTTTTTCGGTAAAAGTTAACGATTATCGTAGTTATCGTAATTGGAAAAACAATAAAAAATGACAAAAACTTCAGTCGAGATTTTGGTCAAAAAAATCGAAATTTTTGTAATTTTTTATAAAAACTTGTAAAGCCTTTACGCTTGGAAATAGTAGAAAACCGCTTAGAAACACTTCCGCTTTCAAAATTAGAAAAATTGATGAAATTTAAAAAATTAGAAAATTTCAAAATTAAAAAAGCTGCCCCCCCCGATATTGCGAAAGAATCGGGGGTTTTAAACGCCTTCTGACCGGCCTTTTAAATTCGCGCGAAAACGCACCTGAAATACCACTCGATAGATACGATTCTGGCGGCCGACCGGGTCCGTTGTCCGCTTTTCGACGATTTCCTCGCAACGAACGGTCATTGTGAACGGCAACCTGGCTCTCAACGAGTTTCGGCACGTCGGAAAATCGCTAAATTATGTGAATTTCAAAAAAATTCACGTAAAATTACATTTTCCGACCCTGGCTGGGCCACAAATGAGAAGTGGTGCTCGAAGATGGGGCGCAGTGGCGTTAGATGCTTCAGCGGGAGACCTCGAGTGCGTGACAGGTGATAGGTGACGCCTGGAAAATATGGCTATATTTCCTAAAAGGTAGTTTGGTTCTGTTGCGTTATCGGGGGGGGGAGGTATTTTTTATGGGTGCACAAATCCACCCAAAATTTTGAAAAATTGAAATTGTGGAATAGTTATCGTGTTTTAATTAAAATCCAACTAAATATCAAGTGCTTTTCTCTATCTCAAATCCTCGAAACTTCGGAAAAATTCGAAATTTTCGGCGGAAAATATCTGATTTTTAATTTTTGTAATTAAAATTTGTGAACTTTTTATTTTAGGCTTAGGAATAGCGTAAAAACAGTTAGAAAAACCTCCGCCATCAAAATAAAAACTGGTCCCGAAGAAAATCGAGAATCAAAAAATCTACTATCACCCAAAAATTCAGGAAATTAATTTAGGAAATTACAAAAAGAAATAAAAATACCGTATAAATTATCGAATCCCTTCGCCGATCGCTTGTAGCCGGCGGCATCATAGCCCGGGAAGAAGCCAGGATCGAACGGGCTCGTCCGCGTGCATTCCAGCGAGGTCTCGGCCGCGAGGTAGAGCACCTGAAAAATGGGCTTTAAAAAAACTACAAAAAATTTTAAATATATTTTTTCAAGTTTTTGAAAACCGCTCACCTGCCAGGAGTCCATGTAGTGCTGCACATCGGAAATCCGGTCATCCTGGCCTAGCGCTACTTGAAAAGGTTAATTTATCATTTTTTAGAAACAAAAACAGGTGCTTTCTTCATATCGGGGGGTAACTTTTTGCTATGAATCCAAAAATGCCTGGTAAAGTAATAGTAACTGTTTTAAGAGCGTTTTTAGTAAAAATTAGCTATGGTTCAAGCAGAAAACGAATTTTTAAAAGCTCGGAAAAATTTTTTAGTCGAAATTTTGGTCGAAAATGGGCCGTTTTGGTAAAAAAATCTATCTTCTTTGTAATTTTCAAAAATTCTTTACGGTTTTGACGTTCAGGTTTTTAAAAAACAGTGAGAAACACTTCCACTATTTATATTAGCTAAATTGGATCGTAAACAAAAAGTTGGACCCCCGATATTGGCAATGAACCAGGAAAACAGTACCTCTATCGAAATATCGGAATTCCGTCTGCTCGCGCTTCAGCGTCAGCCGGAAAGTCGATGTTGGACAGTTTCTAAATTCGGATGTAATTAGATTTTTGGACACTGACCGTTCAATAAACTCGGAGACGCCGCTCAGAATCCCTGCTAGAAGACGCCGGGCAAGCCGTAGATTCGTTTTCCCGCCGTGATGCGGGAAATTCATCAGAATACAGTCGAACGGGCCTGAAAAATATTTCTTGGTATAGTAGAAGTTAATAACTACCTTCCGGAAAAGTTTCCGCCTTCGTCGCATCAACTCCAAAGTGTATTCGAACGTTCGGTAGGGTTTGCAATCGCTGTAGTATCGCCTCGGCCCCATATCTCGCCAAGAATTCGTCTTCATTCGCTTCTAAACAATGCGCGCCTCCATTTCGTATATCAAATTACCCAAAACGGTCGCCGAAATCCGCATCATCGGGTGGAGCGTGGCCAGCGCAAGGGAAAATGAGAAATTCCCGTCTCCAAGTATTAGGCAAGAGCGTGGAGGGCCTAAAGTATAAAATTTCAGGAACAACCCTGAAAACCCACGTATAATCCATTCCAAATGCGCTCGTAGTACGTCCAATTCGCCGCAAAATTCTCTCCTCTCAACGCGCAGCTTCTTGATGTCTTTCAAAAGCCGGGAGAAGACTGGAAAAGAGGAATTTTGGCAAAAAGCTGAGGCAAACTTACATATCGTTCGCTTGTCGAGGTCAGCGACGAGCATTTAGGAGGTTTCTGGGGCTGAATATTTGGTATTCGGAAGATTTGTTACTTTTTTTAAAACTTATTTATTTTTACAGGTTTTGTATCGTAAGCGGTTGCTGGGAGGGCGCGAAACATGGGCGTCAGTAGTATCATTGTGGGTGCCGTGCGAGGATTTCGCGAAACAAAACAAAAATCAAAAGTTTACAAATTCGTCTTTATTGCCTTGCTCACTTTTTTCTTTCTCTAAAGAATCTTGGCTAGCCTACCCTTTCCTAAAGAACCTCTCTAGCATGCATGAAAAGCCTACAAATTCGTCTAAGCCGTCAAAATCTTTGTTGCCTTGCTGATTTCCTGTATTATTTATTTTTCGACATCTTTTCTAACTCAATGCGAGGACCGAAATATGCAATGATTCGTGTTTTCGTCCTTCTTTTTGACTTCAGTTTGATTCTTATAATTCTCGATTTTACAGGTAATATGGCCTCACCGTTGCACAACCATCGTGGAGCAGGTTTCTAAAGCTACTTTTGATGATACCGCCCCTTTTTAGAAAGAAGTGATGGGGAGCTGTCGAGCGGCGACGACGAGCCGGCAGTCAAGTGTGCCCGCGTCCCTGCCATCTCAGAACAGTTCGTTTTCCGCTCTTGGTCAAAGTTTTTGCTTTTAGGCAATCGAGCTCGGGCACCAAATGGCGTCAGTTGATCGTGGAGCGCGAGCTGGACCGGGTCGGCGAGGTTCGACTGCAGGTTTGACAGCGCTTTTTTTGCTATAAAGAATGTTCAGGAAAACATCGTCAACCGTGGCAGCGAAACGTTCGAGCCACCGCCCGTGCAAGCTTCTTCGGTAAAAGATTTTTCCATTGAAAGGATAAACATTTTCAGGTGGCCGCCCCGCTGATCGCCGTCTCGCCCGCCGACGACGAGGACCCGTTCGCCGGGCCGCCCGATTTGGCCAGCATCGAGACGTTTGGTTTCAGCAAAAATGAGGTATGCAGCTTGGTTATTCTGCGAAATCTGATTGGTTCTAGCCCAGAAGAAAAGAGGACGACCGCGGCTTCCGACGACAGCCCTGCTACGTCGCCGGACGCTTTATGACCGAACGGCCGCCAAGTTTGTTCGAGTTTTTGGATAACTATGTCTTTTAGAAAACTTTCGCATCAAGCCAAAGCAGCCGGCCGCCGGCGACAAGGTGGCTAGTGAGTTTTTATCGATTTGCGGGTGCTTCCGGCTTTATCGGGGGGTATGATCAACTTTTTTCAGAACCAGTGGAACAACCGGCTGGCCGTGGTCGTGGGGGCGCGGCTCGAGGACATGGCCCGCGCGGTATGCCGATGCGGGGTGGCCGTGGCGGCCGAGGCGGCGGTCCGGCCGGGATGTCCAGACCCGGGCAGGTAGCGCATTCGGAGTCGTTATGGAAAACGACTTGTTATAGGCAATGAAACGCCCTCACGAACAACGGTACGAGCAGCGGCGGTACACGTTGGAGGGGCTGCTGGAAGCCGAATTCGATCCGGCGCTGAGCATTGAGGATTTTAGTCGGCAGGTTGGAGTTTTGGGCTTGGAGATGGTCTGGGAAGGATATCTGAAAGCTCTCTGAAAGAGCACGAAAAATTTCAACTTATTCTTTCCATTTAACAAACGTTTTTTTCCAGATGGCCGAGGCGCTTGGCGAGATGAACGTCGAGCTGTTGACGAAGTTGGTGACGTTGGCGGGCAAGGAAAAGGTAAATCTAGTTGTCTCGGCACTTAGATGTCTTTAAAACGACGTTTACCTTTTCGCTAATAAGGTAGAGGGAAAAAATTTTCTTTTTGTCATATATTTTTACGTATTTACTTTTCAGGCCTACGAAGTGTTCGACAAGACGCGCCAGATCGAGAAGGGCGGCGGGATGAAGACGGCTGATGGAAGCAGGCAGCGCACCCCGGGCGGCATCTTCATCTACTTGCTCAAGGCCGACGAGTCGCTGCCAAAGGAAGAAGTGGTATGGCCGGTTTTTTCATACGATCTGCGATAGTGTGTAGCAATGTAAAAACAGGGGTTTTAGTGAAATAAAATTTATACATTTTCAAAACGGGGCTTTCACGCTCGTCTCATTTGACTCTTTTTCAGGCCGCCATCTTCGCCCCCAGCCTCATCGAGCAGCGCAGAATCGCGAAGGCGAAGAAGCGCAGACGTCTCAACGAGGTTCGCATTTCCTTATGCTCCAAATTTAACTATTCGTTTTCCAGGCAAAAGCCCAAGCAGCAATGGAGGTTGATGGGCAACAGGACGACGTCAAGCCGCCGATCGAGCGCTCGACGATGGCCGTCGAGTGACCGCGTTCCCGATCCCCCTTGGTTTTTTGTTTGTTTGTTGTGTCCCCGTGCTAGCCCCAGTGAATTGATGCCTTCCTCCCAAGCGGGTCCTTTATACTTTGTTCGTGTTTGAGTTTGTAAAAATACTTTTTTTCAAGTTGTCGATAAAAAAAAATGTTATTCGCAACCAAAAACATCAAAATATTTGCGAAACGAGAAAAAAAGCACATGTGATGGTGAAGGAAGAATCGAAGAAGGTGGAGAGGGGGGAGCCGAAGAGGGCGAGTGTTAGAAACGAGTGACTAATTAAACTACAAACAACCCGGAGAGATACGAGACTGCTATGGTCAATAAGTTGGCGAGGTAGACGTGGTTTTCTAACGGCTGCGGCATCACGGCGGGCTGCTAGGAGATGGACATCCGCTCGTCGTACTGCACCAGCGTCTCGATCAATGGGTGATCCCTGCAAAAAGCTGGCTCAAAAAAGCAGGGAAAGCATACCGAAGCTGCACAACGCGCAGGGCCGACTTGGCGAGGGTCATCGGCGGCAATTCGGACCAGCGACCGGCTGCAAAGTCGTAGCGCTCGCACTTGTTGGTCGTGCGGTTCCCGTCGAATCCGCCGCAGACGACGAGGCCCGGCTCATCAACACGGTCACCGAATTCTTGAACGGCAAAGTTTGATCTACAAAGTTATCAGAAGGTGATGTAATAGGAGAGCAACAACCTCGTCGTGTTCATGTCGGGCCCGCGGTGCCACAGCCCCTCGCGCGCATCATAGAATTCGAAGGTGCGCAGCCGGTTCGTGCCGTTGTAGCCTAGGAATTAGGAAGTGATAGTTTTTGAAACGCGCACTCACCTCCCATTACGGCGACCACGTTCTCACCGATCGACACGGCGCCGACGCCTGTCCGCATCGAGTTCATCCGGCGGGGGAGTTCTTGCCTGAAACAAGCCAGTGACCCTTTAGAACCCGGAAAATCCTGTACCAAGTATCCTGCTGCGGGTCGTACAGCTCGACGGTGTCGTGGATCTGGGCCCCGTCGAAGCCGCCGACGCACATCACGCGGCCCTCCGAGCCGACGCGCGCCACCGACGAGTCGGATCTGGATTGAAATCAAGAAGTTTTGAGTCTGCCTGAACGCGCTGACCTTGCCCGGTGCATCGACGCGACGCGGCTCCACTGGTTCGCCTCGATGTCAAACACCTCGGCGCTGCGGAGTCGAGTGCTGCCGTTGAAGCCGCCCGCCACGAAGACGCGCCCGTCGCCGTAGTTGACCGCGCTGACGTAGCACCGGTGTTCGTGCATTGCCGCCAGGGAGTCCCATTCCTAAAAAAGAAGATAATAGCATGCAAAACATAGCAAAACCAATGTGTCCAGGTTGAAGGCGCGCGTGTGGGAAAGTAGTCGGCGCCGTCGAAGCCGCCCATCACGTAGATTTGCTTGTCGACGAGCACCTAGGCGCAGTTAGCGACCAAAACAAGTCAGCAAACCATCGCGTGGTAGGCGCGGTGGCGTTCGAAGAAGCGCACCGGGGCCGGGATCCACTGTTTCGACCGCTCGTTCCACGTCTCGATCATGTTCGTCGGGCCGGCCGACGCCCATCCGCCCAGGGAGAGCAGCACGCTGCGCGGGACGCGGGGCATGAAAACGAGGCTCTCAGACGCGTCTTCGGCTCGCTGGCGCATGTTTTCCAACGAGAAGTCGCGGAAGGCGTGGCCCTCGGCGGCATCGTGGGCCTGAATTTTGAAGAGTAACTTTACAATGTAGCCAGTACCTTGATCCAGCCGTCGACCACGTTCGTCTCCTCTGTCGGGGCAATGTTCAGCTGTGGTTCGAGGAGAAGCCGCTGCATCTCGGGCCGCGACAGCTTCGTGTACTCCTTGGTGAAGACGAGCTATGATCAAATTTCGGCGCCAAAGAGCACGACGAACCGTCGGGAACTCCTTCAAGATCATCGTCCAGATGCGGCGGGCCAGCGGCACGTTCCGGCTCTCGATGTAACTGCAAAAAAGAATGAATCCTGAACGTCTAGCGAACCGGTAGACGGCGATGATGGACTCGGTGCTGACTTGACGGATGATCAGCTCGGAAAGCCGCTCCACCAGCTCGTCCATGCTCAAGTAGGTGGCCGTCTCGAGCAGCTAGCAAAGAATGAGGTAGGTTTGATGCCAGGGCATGTCCATACCTTACAAGACGTCCGCAAGGACATATCGTCAAGCTGCGCGTCGCCGGCGTGCATCTGCTCGCAGAGTTGGATGCAGTTCGACAGGGCCTCCGCCGTCACGGTTGTTAGACTAAAAAATGTGATAATTAAACCAAAGTTATGCTTACGTGACGATCTGCTCTTCTTTCTCGGCCCAGTCGCCCTGCAGCACCGTCCGAAAAAACATCGAGCACTCGGCGAGCTCATCCTTGGGCAATGGAATCTAAAAAATACGGTTTTAAAGAGCAAGAAAAATTACAATGCGACCATCGGACGTTGCCACCTGCAGGTATTCGACGTGCTGGTACGTCAGGGCGCCATAGCTTCTGAACTCGGGCAGATCCGGGTCGACGTGACTGAAATTAAAGGTTGAACGGCTCCACCTTGACGGGTAAATAAAAAAGAAAATTGTGACAATCCAAAGCTTGACAAAAGTTTAAAAGCCTCATGATGACGTCGAAAAAGAGAATAGCCAAAGGAAACGAGTGCCGATCGAAAGCTGACAAGTCAACGTCCATCCGTTCGCCCCCTGGATCGGGGTTTGCGCCGTCGCGAAGACGCCACTCGGACATCAGACGACGCCACACGTCGAAGATGTTGCCGGTGACGATTCGGGGCGGCGGGGCGATATGAATACGTTCGCAGTTCTGTCCGATTACATACCCTTGGATACGCAAACAAAAGCTACCAGCTTCCGGCTGCAAATTTATAATTCTAATCCCACGTTCTTTCTGCACAAACATAAGCCAACCCCGACAAGTCGAACTGCTAAATTGTATGTTTCTATAGTTACCAATTGAATCTGTAATAATGTAAAAATCGTTTTGCAGTAATAGTTCTCAAAACGCGGAGCTCACATAGTCTAGAATTATTCAGTGCGAATAATTTATCTCACAGCATACCACATCAAAGATTTAAAAGATTTACATGGGGAGGAGGGTAATGTTCAGAAGATACAATAGGCGCTTAGGAGGTTCCAAGGATAAGGGCAACAATCATACCATAGAGACCAAGCACTTCGGAGAAGATGAGAATCAAAATCATTCCGACGAACAGGCGGGGCTGTTGGGCAGTTCCGCGCACGCCAGCGTCTCCGACGATGCCAATTGCGTAGCCGGCGCCGAGACCGCACAGTCCACACGTCAAGCCGGCGGCGAGATGGGCGAAGCCTTTGTTGAGGTTGTATCCTTCTGACGACGCTTGAACTTTGCCCTTCAACACCATCGCCACGACGAGACCGTAGATACCGATGATACCTGAAAAAGAGGTCTTAATGGGGCGAACAATGCAAAAAACTAGGTCCAAATACAAAAAAGCTAGGAGCTTCTTTGGGATTCAAGTTGGGAGGGGCCACTTATTTCGGCATTCTGCGCGAGGGTATGTTGGATCGTCAGACGAAGCCGAGATAAGCAGAGCACTGGCATAGCCTACATACCTTGGCCAAAAAGGGCCTTCTCCAACTTCAATAGTTCCGGATTTTCCGTGCGCCGCATAAAAAGACAACTGACCAGCCATAATGACGGGGATGACGGACTTCATGATCAGCTCGGGCCTCATCACGCCCATCGATGAGATGCCTACGGCCGACTTGGCGGTGCCGTATGCTGCGCCGAGCACGGTGAAGATCTGCGCCGAAGCTGCTCCCATGTAGCCGAAGAAGGGAGCATAGGCGGCTCGTTCAGCCGATGCGAGATCGTACGACATGTCTGATCTGAAAAAGGACGATTAGAAAAGCGAACCTTTGAAAAAGGAAAATGGAAAACGGCGAGCAGAATGGTGTAAAAGGGGGGAATTGCTAGGAAATATAACCGAGTTGATCATATTGAGGTTGGCCTCTCTTGGGGAAGAACCGAAGAACAGAGATCAAGAGAATCAATACTTTCGCAGTCAAAAACGTAGCCGCAGTTATGAGTGCAAGAACAGGGACTATTGCATTTCAGACGCGCAATCTTAAATCGAAACTTGTAGCGAATTCAGCGAAAATGAGATGAAGTTGCGAGAGAAATGACTCGCCATGGTCGGGGCCAGCAAATGAAGATCAATTTCAGGGCGCACGGCCAAACACAAACTATAGACCACACGCGACGAGAGATTGGGGAACCGAGCGATCGGAGGTGAACGGGAGCAAAGGCAACCCCCGGGATGGCCGTATCAGTCTGGGAGAAAAGTTGGTGAAAGGAACGGAACAAGGAACAAAGCCCCGCAGGAGGTGCTGTAAAACGCGCGTTTTAGAATGAATTAAAGTTCTGAATTTCTGAAAAGCGTGACGCAAAAATGATGGTAAAACTGAAGATAAACGTCGAACTAAAAGAATACTAAAAAAGAAGGCAATAAAAAAAAGCGGCAGGACATGGTTGTTGTCGTCGGGTTACCGTAAGGCGCGCGCTTTTTAGAATGCGTGACAGCTCAGTAGTCTAGAAAATCAATACTGCAAGATTAAAATTTTAATTTGGACTTTTTGACGTTGAAAAGATACATTCGACATCAAAAGTCGTTCCACATTCGATACCCCATTTCAATAACAGACAATTTATCGAGAGATCAATGCATAGGAAATTTGTTGACCCGACTCTGGCGATGACAATAATCATAATAACAACGTGCAAATAGACAAATATGGCCTAGAATGACAACATAACATGCAACAAAGAGGTGGGTGTGGTTAGTCTTCGTCGGGTTCATCGTTCTCCGGCGAGTTCTCATGAGGGTCATAGTGGTACGGGCGGGTGCCCCAAGCTTGGAGCTCCTCAGTTGTGCCGAAGATGAGCAACTTGTAGTAGCGGGCCATGCCGTCAGCGACGATTCCCTGAAACCACAGATTGTTTTAAAAGATTCCTTAGTGCTTCACTGCGGCTTCAAATTTTTTTTCTTTAGGATAAATCTTGCCTAAATTGCACCCATTCTCTTCAATTTTTGCTAGTTAATTTTGTTATCCATTTTTTTCGAAAAAAATATAATAAACACTCTAAGAGATGGAGGAAACGTTTTTCAAGGTGTCTTTTAACGTTCCTAAACGTGAAAACTATAGGAATTTATTAAAATAACCTAAAAAATTGAGGCTTTGCACCTTTTAAGCAGTTTCGACAGTTTTTTTAAAGTTTTCAGCTTGTAAAATATGGCAAAATTTGGCCAAAACGATTATAAGCATTTCTGAGCACTAAAAGAAAAATTTGGCACCTCCGGAAATTTGCGATAAAAAGCCCTTACCCTGCAAACGGCTTTCCCGACCCTGTCGACTTGTTCGCTGGCCTCGAGCTCGTCGAATCTGGCGCCCTCCAGCCACGAGAAGCGCTTCAACTAAACGACAGCAACAAAAGCTTTTTGATATAATTTGAGTTTACCTGAGCGCGGGCGTTCTCGAACATGTTGTGCTCCATGTACATGAGCTCGTAGTAAATTTTGCACAACGCAAAGTGCTGGCGGCACAGCGCGTATTGCTAAAACAAACAAAATCCTGGTCGAAAGCGTAAAAAGGTTTACCTTGCCACGCATCAGCTCCGCCTCCTTGAGCACGAAGCCGGACTCTTCGTAGGCGGGGCCGACCAGGCTGAGCCCTTTGTACGGCTTCTTAGTGTGCAGCTGATCGTGTTCTTCGCCCTAGGAAAATGATAAATATGACAATTGTAAAGCTACCGCACAGCACAGCGTTTGCTTCTTCATGCTTTTCGCGTTCTGCTCCGCTTCGTTCTCGTTGACGAAAAAGGCAAGAGCCGCCTGTTGCTTCAGCGAGCTGGGAAACTGCAAAAACTTGATTTTCAGAACAATCCAAGAGCTCACCATGCGGCCAAAATCCTTCGCAGACTCGGCAAAGTCCTTCGGGAGCCCGGCGCGGGTCTGGATGTTCTCGAGGATCGTGCGGTTCAATTCTAGGATCGCGTTTCGCGCTGCGCGCAGCTCTGGATATTCTGGAATCAAAAAATGCTTGACAAAAACACGGTGGACCCACTTTTCGACGAGAGCTTCTCCTTGTTCTTCGCCGTGGCGGTGAGCGCGTATTTGAAAAAGTTGTTCAGGTTGGCGGAGAGCTCTTGCGTGTCCCAGACGCTGTCGCAAAATACGGGAATGCCCTCCTGACGTGAAATAATTAATTGTATCACCAATGATACCTTTATTCGTCGCTCCATATCCTCGTCCAGCTTGGTGAGAGCGTGCGTTTTCCGGGTAGGCTTGGGCTTGGCGGGGCCTAGAAATAAATTTTGAAAAGTCAATTCTGCTCACTGGCTGCTTGCTTCTTTCGGTACGTCACTTTCGCGGCAAGCTCATCAGGATCAGGCTCCTAAACTTGCAGTGAAAAAATTTTTCTAAAGCTTACCACCGGCGAAGCTTCAGTGACCTCCCTGTCGCTGTCCATCGAGCAGGAGCTAAATAACTATTTAAGGGCCAGTTAGCAGAGTTCGTATAATAGTTGGTGTGCAAAAACTGCCTGTAAGTCGACCCGCAATATATGACGACATTTTATTCATATACCAGTAGAGGGAGGCGACAAACAAAAAAGAGGAAGAGCAAGGATATCTCATCAAAACTGATCGACAAAACGGAAGAGAAGAAAAAGTTGCCGGAAGAGATGATAGTTTTCTACAAAGAATCCAAAAAAGGCACTAGCACAACGAAAAGAACAATACGACAGTCATATTCTACATATTAGTCTACTCTGTTCACCGCTTCATTCTTCTCGGTCGGCTCACACGGACTCCGGATCAGTATCGATGGCTTTGAACCTGAAATTTGAACAGTTGTTATCAAAAATAGAATCCTGACCAATGGCCGCAGGTACACCGTTTCGGCTCCCCCTTCCGTACGACCATGAAGTTGACGTGGCCGCTGTCCGGTTCGCCTAAAAAATGAGTTTTTCAAGCGTTTTTGAAGGCTAAAATATAAAAACCATCTGCAAAGGTCAATTCACTCACACATGCATCCCATCATGCGATCCTCAAAGTGTGAGGGGACAAGATTCGGCGCCTCCTTTGTCGAGTACTCGCCTCGATAGTAGACCTTCGGTTCGTAACGCTAAAAAAAGAGCATAAAATTAACACAAGGTGATTTACATCATCTCCAGCCAGGCGAGCCAGCAACATCTTCTTTTCACGGCCGGTCGCGTGTTCGATCGGGTCCGGGTAGTGGCCGTAATCATCGGGATTGGCCTGGAAAGGAATATCACTCTCGCCGTCGGAAACAAAAAGAAAATGAAACGGCAAAAAACCATACCTCCGTAGCAAAAGCCCTAGAGCTCGATGCCGCGACGGCGCACGTCGTCCTTCTGACCACGCCGGCCAAGCTGGCGCGCAGAGCTGTCAAGGCCATACCTGAAATTGGATCTTTATTATCTCAACAAAGAACAATTCGAGAACGAGAAAACAACGGAATGAAAGGGCCTGCAACTTGTGCAAACGCCAAAACAACAAAATCAACAAGGTGATCGGAGGATACCACGTGGGCAAAGGCGGGTGAAGAAGCAAAGTCTAAGAAAATCGATAGCGCCAGTTTTTTAGGCGAAAAAGTCGTGTGAAAAAGAAAAGTAGTCGGTGGCGTGGGATGCTGGATCATCGTTTTCCGCCCTTCTTCTTCTACTTAGGCTGGGCCGCTTTCTTTGCACCGTGCTTGGCTTTCTTGATCTGAATTGAGAGGTTATAACTTCATTTTTTTCACAGTCAAAATATTATAGTCGGGAACACATACGAAAAGCCGATAAAACTTGCCTTTCTCGCGCTCAGCCAAACCGGATACGAGCCGTCAGCCTTCTTCATCGTCTTCAGGTTGATCGTTGCTGGGACGGTCGCTGCGGCGTCGGTTTCCATTTGCGCTTCCTTGCGTGCGTTGAGCTCGGCGTTGAGCTCGTCTTTCGTCGTCGTGGCGAGCGTTTCTTCGAGCTTCTTGAGAACCTAAAAAATCGGGTATTTGTGTGATTTCGAGCCCTTATCGAAGAAAACGACCCAGTCATACCTATTTTCTGAAACACAATTAGAAAAACTGCTCACCTTCGGCTCCTTCTTGACGCGGGCGATGCTGCGCATCTTCCTCTTGAATTTCGAGCGCAGTGACTTGGCCATCTAGAAGAATTACGTTTAATATTTTCTTTTCGGAAGCTCGGGAAAGCAAGTCAATACAATTTTTATAAAGGGAACGGACCACGGGTCTTGGGCACAGAGAAGCAACGGAGCTAGTTTGTATGCGTATCCTAGTGGGTCCATAGAAAATCGCGAGTTTCTTTTCCAAAGCCACGTTTCAAAGAATTCTACCACTTCGCGATGCCTGGATCGTAGCAAGATGTGTATAGGGTATAAAACCCTTGAATTCACGATTTGGCCACAACGTGGAATCCAATAATTTATCCAAGACACGTACAATGAGCCGTTTAGGCGGGGAGAGGCAAAACGAAGATGGTGATAATGATAGGGTGGTGGCTGGAGAACAACGACTATACACCGGGCTACAGGAATCGCAGAGAACGGGTAGATACACAACGGTAAAGCGGCACTGGAAAAGACGGGGAGGGGAATAAAAAAGGCAATTTTAATGAGGAGATCGGTGTGTGCGGTTGCGAGGGAGGACGGGCGCGATCAGTCTTGGCCAGTCGGGCATTCCGGGAAGTTGTCCACGCGTTCGTAGCCTGAAAATGGGAAAAATTAATTTAGGTTTCACCAATTTTTGCAAAATTTTTCGGCCAAATATCGGTGAAAAGAACGTTAATAGAACGGAAACGCAAACGGGCGGTGAATCTTACAAAGGCCCCTTGCTGATGAAAAGCTATCGCGCGCCCCTGCGCCCTAACTACAGTACCCCACCCCACCGAGCCCCCATTACGCCAGCCTATTGCTTTCCTTTCCAAAAAACAAAAGTGAGAAGAAAGAAGCAGAAATCAAAGTAAAAAATTGGTATGCTTGAAATAAGGTTATAATGGCGCACTTTCCAAAGCCTTGCTTGCTTATTGCCGCAAATTCTGGGCGTGAGCTCCTACAACACCAATCACGCTTTCAACATTCTCATGCACGAAGCAGGATGGAATGGAGCTTCGTCCGTTGTTCGATGTTGCTTCCGGAAGTTGAGGCGCGATAATATTAGCGGGTAACGTTTTTGTTACCTAAAGAAGAAGCCGAAGATGAGGAGCCGCTCTGATCATTTTTATGAGACACAAACATTCACCCCCTTACAACCGGTGTCTCATTTCAGAATGAGTAATGAAACCAAACCACTAATCACTGACGGCACCCGATTTGGGCGCATTTATTATGAGAACTTTTATAGCCCTCGCCCCAAGAGTTTTTTGGGTCGGACACGACCTAAAAATGCTAAAATGTAGCATTTGGTCAAAAAATGCGCCGGAAAGAAGTTCTTCAGGGCTAATACCACCTCTCTTACTATAAAAGGACCATAAAAGTTAATCAAGCCTCCATCTTACTCGGTTACTGAAATGGAAAGGATAGCTATTTGTCATTTCGTCGTAATCTTATTTTTTTTTACTTTGATTTCTGCTTCTTTCTCCTCACTTTTGGTTTTTGGAAAGGAAAGCAATAGGCTGGCGTAATGGGGGCTCGGTGGGGTGGGGTACTGTAGTTAGGGCGCAGGGGCGCGCGATAGCTTTTCATCAGCAAGGGGCCTTTGTAAGATTCACCGCCCGTGAAACACAAGCGGTTCTCTCGAACTATCTTGGAGGAGCTTTTTTTAAAAACCAATTTTTCATCTAAGTGTTTCTATTTCAAAACTTGTTTGGCTACTCCTAAACCTAAAAACTTTACAAATTTTTATGAAAAAAACACAAAAAACCAAATTTTCACTTTTTGGTCGTTTTTCTACTGAAAAGACAGTTAAATCGTGCTAAAAACACTATTAGGACCCTTACTAAACGTTTCTGGACTCAGAGGGAAAGAAAATTGTTTCCCCCCTGATAATGCGAAAGAACTTTGCAAGCAGCTCATTACCGTAAGCCTCGACTCCGCTGGTGTCCGGTGGCTGACTGAGGGCACCTCGCATCCGACGCGTCATACGACCGAAGAGGCCGGCCGGGCCCGACTCGTGCTCCTCATCGTGCCGCAGCGGTCCCGCCGTCTTTCGCTTGCCGCGCGGCTCACCATGCACGAAGATGCGACCCTAAAATGATCATGAAGAGGAAAGAACCAATAAAACCAAACCTGTCCAAGAAGTGCCTTTAGTATCGTGTCGTCCGTCTTCTCGAGAACCCGATCAGCCAATTTCAGGACACTAAATCAGAGAGTAACAGGTGGCGGAAAAGTGAAGATACCGTTCGTAGGTGACCTGTTGCTCATCGATGGGCGGGATTTCGGCGACTCCGGCGATGGCATCGATGCGGACGGACACCATACCCGATTCGGACAGGCGAACCAGCTCGTTTTCCAACGAAAAAAGCATAAAGAGGCTAGAGGTGCTTACCTGGCCAACAGTGCACCGGAAAATCGTCGCCGATCGCTTCAGGTCGACGACAAGGTACGGGCTAAGGTGAAGCAGAAGGGCACGGTCAAAGATCATCGATTCGAGCTTCTAAAAAAGTAGAAAGTCGGATTTTCGCCAAGCCAAACCTTCAAGCATTCCGAGAGCCGCGGGTCGAGGAGAAGGCGATTCCGAGCGGCGGCGAGCCCATCGAGCACTTGTCCCCAGTCACTGCGCACCCACGCCGTCAGCAGACTCATCAACCACGGCTCCATCTCGAGGAATCGTCTATGAACCACGTATAAAAATCTATTAAAAACCGACTTGAACTGATGCTCGTCGTTGCCGGCGAGTAAAGCTTTCAGGGCCCGGCGTTCGAAGGTGGCCAGAGCGCAGAGGATCCCGTAAGCAGCTATATCGGAGTGGGAGACCATCCACGGGACCGGGATCTCATCGGGATTCGACTAAAAGCAATTCTTTGAGCTCAATACGCAAAAAAATACCTGCACAAGCTTTTCCGCAGCCTCCTTGTACTTGTTGTGGTTCATCAGGGAGAGACCGTGGAAAATGTCAAGGCGCGCCTAAAAGAAGTTAGGATCAGAAATTTTAAGTATTGTCGGACCCGCGTGGTCTTGATGAGCCCCTTGTTGGTCTTGGCGGTCTGCGACTGCTGGCTGTTTTGCGGACGGCGATTCGGGTGGGCGGTCACAGAGTTCTAAAGCACAGTTTTTTGGTGACTGTGAGCACCCACATCCGCTTCCATGGCATCGGCGAGGCATCGCTCAGCTTGCGCGATGAGAGGCTCGACGCGAATCCAGTCGGCTTCCTCCAACGCCACTTCGAGCCAGTCCATGTACATCTAAGGAAAAAATAGAAACTGGCAAGGAAAGGGGGGGGGGGTATCACGACACTTACGGCTCGAAATTTTAGCACGAACAAGTCTGTTCCTGTTAATAACGATTAATTTAGAAAAGTAGATGGCTAGATGTCTGCTATTAAGCTTGACAGCACTTCACAGAGTCATTGCAAAGGCATCATATCATTCGAAAACGGGACATCGGGCCGCAAGTGTCGGATCAAAAATCTGATATCCGGAAAGGAGCGCATACAGCAATTGTGTGCTTGAATTGCGTGCAGTAGTCGCGCATGCCCTTGTTGAAGAGTCGGCTGGCATCGGTGTGCAGTCCGGCGGAGACGTAGTGGTGGAAGAGGTCGTCCATCGCGCGGCGCGTCGATTCCTCAACATCAAATCATTTGGAAAACGAAAACCCTAACCTTAACCCCCTCATCTTTCTGGCGCTTGAACTCCATCAGCAACGCGTCGGTGGTGGCCTGCATGGCTTGCTGCGTTTGCGTTACCCATCTAGAAACGCTTTTCTTTGGGTCAGAAAAGGGTATTTACACTTGATCCACCGCCCCTTGCGCGCCAAGACCCTCGAGCTTGTTGGCCACGTGCAGGTAACGGGAAGTACATTTTGTTTTCTAAAAAAAAACAGTTTTTTCATAAAAGTCCAAGCAACCTTGCGCAGGGTCTCGAGCATCAGGTGATAGGCCGACTTCTGGAGAGGCGGGCAATGGTCGGCGATGAACTGGAGTCGACTGATCAGGGCGAATGGCTAAAAACTCAAAATTAAAAATTCCACAAACCTAAAAATCACCGTGTAAAAACGGCTCATCGCCTCCAGGTCCAGGGCGGCCGTGTCGACGACCAGCGTCTCCGACGGCCTGGCCTCGGCACCGTCAGCGATATCCATTGGGATGGCCTCTGATTTTGCTATTCATTAATAAATTCGACAACAATGAGTGCCAAATCTTGTAAAGCAAATTTACCATTAGTCCGGCCGAGCAGCTGGTTGGCAGGCAACAAGGGCGGCGCCTCGAAGCTATCCACCTCGTCCGGCCACTCGTCGTCGTTGTTGTCGTTTCCGTTGGCTGTCTAAAAGCGCTATTCAGCAAGCCCATCATAAAAACGAATGAAGTTTAAAAACTTCTACCTCCATTGTGTCGTTCGGGTCGAACTCGACCATCAGCTCATCGTGGTTGCGCGGAAGATTACCCGACATCTTCCTGCAATCGATAGATCGAGAAGAAATTGGAAATTTGAACAGAATTTCTTTAGAAACTTTTCACAGAGATTCGTTTTTTTATTTAGAACGCCTCATCGCGGTGATTTCGCATAGAGCGCTCATATTGCCAGCGTATTTAGGCCGGTCGCGTATTCTGCTCCAACATTATTGTTGAATCTATTCAGTTGTTATCAAAAAATTTTAAATCTAAAAATCAAAACGTTGTGATGTTGCATACATCTCATTTTGAAACGCAAAATACGGCTTGATTTACTTTTATGGTCCTCGCCCAAAAAGTGTTTTTTCGGGTCGGAATCGATCTAGCAATGATCAAAATGTAGTATTCAGTAAAAAAAAATGCGCCGGAAAGAGGTTTTTAAGAGCTAAAAAGACGTTTTTTGCTAAAATTCGGGGACCATAAAAGGGGGTACGGGGGTATGTCGTTTATGGTCCTCGGCTAAAATCCATTTTTTCTTGTCGGAAACAATCCAGAAATTCGAAGCGACGACCCGCCTTGCCTGACAATGCTACGTGCCGCACCTTGTTCAGAAGCCTTAGGCGACCACGAACATCTTTCCGGCACTTTTTTTCGAAGTATTATGAATTTCCAACAATTATCTATTGATTTGGTAAAAGAAAAAACACTTTTCAGGCGAGGACCATAAACGACATACCCCCGTACCCCCTTTTATGGTCCTCGAATTTTTAGCAAAATAAGTCGTTTTAGCCATTAAATCCTTCTTTCCGGCGCATTTTTTTCACTGAACCTGACATTTTGAACATTTTGGGATTGTTTCCGACAAGAAAAAAATGGATTTTAGCCGAGGACCATAAACGACATAGCCCTGTACCCCCTTTTATGGTCCCAGAATTTTAGCAAAAAAGTTCTTTTTAGCCCTCGAAAACTTCTTTCCGGCGCATTTTTTTCACTGAAAACTACATTTTGATCATTTCTAGATCGATTCCGACCCGAAAAAAACACTTTTCGGGCGAGGACCATAAAAACAAATTTTCCCCCAAAATACGTAAGATTAAAATATGTAAAAACGTAAAACAATGCGTAAAAACTGTCATGGAAAATTAGGTGGGCGCATCTCAGAGAAAAAGCAAGTAAGAGAAGAGTGCCAAGAAGACACGATTTGCTTTGGTTGAATGTTCCATGGCGGCAATAAAATCAGAGCTGTAGGTCATAGTTTTTCAAATGAACTATTAGTGCTTCCAAGCCATCCTTCGGAAACTTGTCCGAGACGAGCAGATGTATACGGATCATTTAACCTCTTGATACGAAATCCTGACATGATTAGTTATTGGATTCATATGTTATCACCACCACAAACGGGTCGTTTGACCTCAAATTGCCCCTGATTAACCCGAACAGTTTCTTCTGTTTGGCCATTTTTGTCCTCAAATGCTGAGAATGAGCTTTTAGGTCCGATGGAATTTGAACGTCTACCGACCTCGTTGATGATGCTGGTGCTCGACCACGTAGAACCTGACGAACTGCTCGCTCTGCACCGAACTACCCGCGCTTTCCGGTAGGCTCTTCATCTCAACGATGCCGAATAGGGGTGCTAAAACCCCACAGCAATCAGCCAAAAAATAGTTTCATTTTCAGACGTCGCGTTAATAGTCGTGGGTTGCTTCCGGGGCGTATCCGAGTGATGTCGATAGATGGGCTCTGTCTAAATCCTGAAAAGGTAGGGGATGGTATGATTGTGATTCCGAAAGGATCCCTGCAATGGTGCCTTCATTTCCAGGACGGGCTGGGTTGTGAGCGATTGATGGTGGGTGTGGAGAGCCGCGAAGGGGTCAATATCTGTGCTGCATACCCAAACAAACGGATTTTTCATGTCACGGACCTGTCGTAAGTTTGGCATGGTACGGAAGTCCGGCGGTTGTTGTGTATTTACGATTTCTAAATCTGCGATTTAGCAGGGGGGTTGTCCCTGAGGACACAGACAATGGGCCGTGGTTCAAGACAGGCAGCAACAAATCGATGCGGTAAGTTTGCTGACAGAAAAGTGTTTTTGGCCAGGCCTATCGTATGCAGAATTTTTCGCTGATGCCGACTATGTTTTCAGAAAGTGCGGAACGGCCTTATTTCAGAAGTTGCAGCGCCTTTTAGGGCATTCTTGGATCAAAAATTGCAACTTTAAGCCCCTGGAAAAAACGTAAAAGAGAAAATCAGGAAAAAAAAATAGCGCATTTTGCTCAGCAAGAAAGGCGCTTTCTGATGAGGTGCCTTATCGGCGGCGCCAAATTTGGTAAATCGTTTTAAATTTCTATTTCAATTTCTAACAATTTCATCGACCCGTCCTGTTGAAGGCGCTTTTCTTGAGGAATAAAGCAAAGAAGAGCGGTTATTTCGCATTGTCGTGGGGAGCGGGGGGATGCCGACCAACTCATAGTGAAAGTGTTTCTAAAGGCTTCTTACTAATTCTTATCGTGAAACCTATACAAAATTTTGTGAAAAAAAATGTTAAAAATGAATTTTTCGACCAAAAAGGGCCTAGTTTCTACCAAAATTTCAGCCTTTTCACAATTTTTAGATAGTTTTTCTATCTGAAATATAGGTTATTTTTGGCTAAAAACACGGTTAAAATACTTCTATGGAGTTACGAGACATTTCTAGACGTATACAGAAAAGCTCGGTATCTCCCCCGATAATGCGAAAGAACCAAAAGTGTGGCAGATACATGGTCTAAAAGCGCGTTTCTTGCTGAGCAAACTGCGCTGTAAGTTTTGAAACAAAAACAACATTCTGCAAATTGAAGCCAGATTCGGGATCAGCGATTCTGCACAAGAAAGACTTGGTTTAGCTTCATTTTCCATCCCGACAAAAACACTTTACTGTTAGTCAGTTGGCTAAAACGACTAATATGGATTTTTCAGGCGTTTCCGAATGAAGGACGACAGTTATATGCGTAGATTTTGGCAGCTGCTGCCAGCTAGTCGCTCCATTCAGGAACTACGAATTTCAATTGAACTTGAACATTATGATGTACGTGAGACGGTTTTTGTAGTATTTTACTTGCGTCTTTCTTTCGATTTCAGAATGTCGAATTTGTTTTGCATAGGATTTGAGGGTGGGGGGGTTCCGGGAAATCAGCGTATGTAAATTTCGACATCATGAAATGTTGACATTATGACTTTCGATATTTTGAAAGCAACCCGTCGTTGCAAGGTATTGCGTGCGGGTTTCGATTTTTCATGGGACGACTATGCCTTTTCAGTCTCTCCAGGGTACGCCATTCCGGACCGAGCATATTAAGCGATTTCATTGTCTTGCGGTAAGCCAAGAGGATAAAAATAAGAAAATTCCGACTGGTCGAAGCGCAGGTTCTCGGCTGTTAGCGGGGGGGGGGACAATTTTAGCGCGGGGGAAACGAAAGTTTTCCTTGTGATTCTCTACGGCCCTATAACAAAATAGAAAACAATTTTTTAGCGTTTTACATAGCTTTCACAGGACAAAAATTTTGAAAAATTGGTGGTTTGTTGGTCAAAAATTTATGAACAATGATCAACAAAGCCAAATTTTCGAGTTTTCAAATTTTTGCTGAGAGCTAGAAAAAACAAAAAGTGTGTTTCCCCCCTGATTACCCCCCGCTAGCAGTCCAGAAGCGAAGCGCATCCCGCTCGTTTAGGCACGACAACCAGACGTTTTTGTGCTAAGGATGGTGACTGCTCGGGATCGAAAACGGCAGCCCATCCACGTAAGCTTTCGCATGAGATTCAAAAATGGTTCTGGACCGCGGATTCTTTCGGAAAACCGGACGACATCCCTTCTTCGCTAGCATTCTTCTTTTGTATCATAAACGGGGAAGCGTTTTTACACATTCGTTTACACTTATGAGCGCAAAAAAAACCGGCTAAAATGACCAAGTTTTGACTCAGGTTTTAGTAAGTTGATAGATATTTGGTAGCCCGAAGAACTCGAAGAAAGCAACTCGAGCGAGCATATCTCAATCTCCGCTTATAGACCGCCGGCTTCTTGAACCGGTTGCGTGCGGTGGGCGAATTCGTTCTGACGAGGGTGCGGCTGAGGATGTTGCCGCGAATCATCAGCGCGATTCGCTGCCGCCCGGATATAGTCGTCACAGCGGCAGTATGAGATCACCTATCAGAATCTCGAAATGTTCATACAGGGTGTCCCAAAAAACCCCCTACCTAGCGGGCCGCTGGAGTCCGATTTTTACGATTTAGCTATCTATCGAAAGCTGTCGAAAAGGCGAGAAAACAAGCGGGTTTGGTTTTCTAGAATTTAATCGGATTCGATCTATATTTAAGATTTTAAAAAAATCCATGATTGTTCAGCAGGAACCAGGGTTGAAAAGCCGCTACGCGGCTTTTCACGCCTGGCTGCTCCGCGGGCACCTTTAATACACGGACACTTTGCATCTAACAATTTGCAAAATTTTTACGATTTACGTTAGGGATCCGAGCGCCACAGGAATTGCGTGAGCAACCGTCTTCGAGTCCCGCAAAGCCCAGAATGAGCGGAATTAACTCTCGTCTGAAAATGAGCCTATATTCATATGTTTTAAAAACGTTAAAATAAGGTATAAAACGTTATTTTAGTAAAAATCTGATCAGCGTGCAGTAATCTACGCCCTCGAATACCCCAACTACCTTACTTCTGGACCAAAAAAGCCTTTCCGCTTCGATTTATGGCTGGAACCTTTCGCTAGATACCCCATTCGTAAAAATCGGACTCGACCGCGGACCGAAGGGTTTTGTTTTTTGGGACACCGTTTAGACTGTAACAATATTTCATTTCAGCTCTTCGCACATGACGATCCGGCACAGGATTTGCAGCAACGCCAAGTGGTTCGTTTGAGTCAGGGGCGTAGCCAGGAAAAAGTTTCGGGGGAAACTTCGAAACAAAATTGCGTCATTAACGAAAAGTCAGCGCAGTAGGTGGCAATTTTGGAAAAATATGTTGGATAGCGCTAAAAATCGTCTTAAAAGCCTTAAAGGGGCTCGGAAATAAAATTTGTGAACGCGGGGATTGAACCTGCTGGTCAAAAAACGAAAGGGTTACTGCCGAGAAGTATAGGTTTAGACACTATGAAATTCGATATTATGAATTTTGCATTATGATTTTCCACATTTTAAAATTTGGACATTATTATAGCAAATCCATTGCAGCAGATGCGACTCGGATGGGAAGCGCGTATAGATCTCGGATTCCGTTGGGCCAAGTCAGCTTCGATGTGGAAGTATTTCGTATTTAGGACCGCCAAGCTGCCGCTCAAGGTATCGACTCGAACATGGGGGAGACGAGGAGATGTTTTTGGGTGAAATCGCGCTTTCGAGTTGCCGCCAAGAAAAACCGAGATTCTGATAGGTAATCTTGTTTTCAGTATCTATTGGGACACCTTGACGTGATGTTGCCCGATCGTCTGCTTACCTGCTCGGCACCGCCACTTACGGATGAGGTTGACCCTGGCAACGAGACTGTGGTATGGCGCTCGAACATTATTTAAAGGGGGTACTGGACGGTTAGGTTGCTCAATTACAATTTTTTGTCCAAAACCCCCAACTGACTGAGGCTCTTCAAATAATGTTTCAGAGCTGGCTGCTGGACCTTGGCTTGGAGCGCTGGGGTGATGCGGAGGATTGCCAGCGTCTTCGCGCCAGCTTCGAGTACTTCTTTGCCAAGGTTCGTTCGCATCATCAGCCGCAGTAATATATAACCCCAATCGGCACCGTTTTTTTCCGTAAATTATCAATTTTCCGCAAAAACCTTGCCCGTGGAGCCCATTGTACAGTGTTTTTGCACACGAATTTGAGCACACGAATATAACCCCAAGCTAAGCCTGAGCCCAAGCCTAAGCGTCAGATAAGGCGCAGCCTAAGCCTATGCCTAAGACTAAGCTAAGCCTAACCCTAACTAGGGAATGGTTTCGGGCGGACATCGGACCTAGATATGTGAGTATGTGCATCTTGTAGATCTCGACGAGACGAATCGATTGATGTAACTTTGAGCTGCCAACGCCTTTAAATAAAAAAGTTACAACGATTTAAAGTTTTCCGGCATGGCTTCATAAGCCCTCCCTGCAACCCCGCCACCGTGGTCCAGTGGCGTAGTGGTGTAGTAGTCGGCGTCTGGGGAATCTAACGAGGGTTCGAACCCGCTCACGATTTTTTATTTTTTGCTTTTTTGTCCGAGGCTTCCTCATTGCATTCTGAAGGCCGTGAATCACTTTTTGTGCATTATTTATACACCAGAAACGCTCCTAGCGATAATACAGCTTCGGGTGAAAAAATAATTTTCTGATCCAGTTGGCTGGTGCCTGGCTCTTGCATCGAAAATGTTTTGGAGGAGCGACCAAAATTGTGGTCACGTTTCTTACCACGTTGTAGCGTACCCCAAGTTCCATGACAAATATTATATTTTCTCCTGAACTAGCCCTACTATCGTTACGTTTTTTACCAATTTCGAAATTTTCGCAAAAAATTTTTGGTATTATCGCTAGGAGCGTTTCTTGGTGTATAAATAATGCACAAAAAGTGATTCACGGCCTTCAGAATGCAATGAGGAAGCCTCGGACAAAAAAGCAAAAAATAAAAAATCGTGAGCGGGTCCGAACCCTCGTTAGATTCCCCAGACGCCGACTACTACACCACTAGGCCACTGGACCACGGTGGCGGGGTTGCAGGGAGGGCTTATGAAGCCATGCCGGACAACTTTAAATCGTTGTAACTTTTTATTTAAAGGCGTTGGCAGCTAAAAGTTACATCAATCGATTCGTCTCGTCGAGATCTACAAGATGCACATACTCACATATCTAGGTCCGATGTCCGCCCGAAACCATTCCCTAGTAAGCTTAGTCTAAGCATGCCTAACCTGAGCCTAAGTTTAAGCCAAGCCTTGGCCTAAGCCGTAGAATCATGAGAAGATCCGGGACTCAATTTATGTTTTCAGAAGCATGGACCGGAGACGGAGAGCTGGTTTTTCCGCTGCCCCTACCCGCATCATGGTCAGGATTTGCACGTTGTTTAAACCACTACAGAGTCTCGAAAGTTATGTTTTGCGATTCAGAGGTGAAGGTGATGGCGCGACTTCATGCTCCTAAGGAAAACGTCCATTTTCCGAGGCGCTGGCTGACCGTTTCCTTCCTGAAGATATCGCATCCGAAGGCCCTCGGATAATCGTCGTTTTCTTTTTCTTTCTTTGTCGGGTCGAATAAATCCCACGAATGGTTTTAGAATTTTTAACTACACACGTTTTACGTCCAAATCAAACGGGTGGGGAATGGATCAGCGTGCGGCGTGCGGCAGGCTTTGGTGCTCCTTTAAAAGGGCTCGGAAGTAAAATCATCATCAACGCTAAGGAGGCGAACCCCACTCCTAAACCCCTAAATTTCGCCGATCGGTATTTGGTCTCTAACTTCCGGGTAAAGCTTTTTATCGCAGCGTATGGGGGATGAGGGCTATAAGCTACAAAATACACATTTGAACGAAACATTGGAAAACGCGGATCCGAGGATTGGGTGGGAAAAGGGGAGATTGGCGTGGAATAGACATCAGAAAATGTGAAATTGAAAAATACTGGAAAACCAAATTCACACAAAATCTCGAAAATTGCAACTCATCGAATATAACTTGTAAAAGTACGGTAATTGTTGTAAATTTTGAAAAATATAGCAAGAATTAATGAAAATGGCTTCAGACCTTTTTTGGGGGGGGCTTGAAAACGGATTTATTTAGACGTCGGTGTCGATGAAGTGGCTGATGCGGGTGGATAGGCGGGTGGGCAGTTGGCGCTCATTAAAATGGATTGATTAAACAAGTTGCGTTCATTTGGCGCAATCAAATGATCTCTGCTAGCCGGCCCTTTCTTAAAGAATCTCTGCTAGCCGGCCCTTTCCTAAAGAATCTCTGCTAGCCTGCCCTTTTCTAAAGAATCTCTGCTAGTCTGCCCTTTCCTAAAGAATCTCTGCTTGCCTGCCCTTTCCTAAAGAATCTCTGCTTGCCTGCCCTTTCCTAAAGAATCTCTGCTAGCCGGCCCTTTCCTAAAGAATCTCTGCTAGCCTGCCCTTTCCTAAAGAATCTCTGCTAGCCTGCCCTGAATCCATGAAATCCGATACCTCAATCCGGACCACCCTCACGGCCAGCGGATCGGGGCTCTCGTCAAATTCGGGCGAGCTGAGCGGGGCCGTCTAAAATTTTTTCCAATAAATATGGAAAAATTGGACCAATATTTATAAAAAAAATAAATAACGGTTCGATAGAAAACTACCGCAAACGGCTTCAGAAACGGATTCTCGGTCCCGCCCGAGTTCAGCAGGGCCGGCGGCGCGATGGCGTCCTGAAGATTTATTTGTGCTTATTTTTTCATAATAATTTCTTTAATGATTTTTATGGGATTTTTATTGTAAAACGAGGCTAGAAATTATAAAAAATACCCTAAAGATGCTGGGCGGCTCCGTGAAGTCGGAGACGTCCAACTCGGGCATGGTCGCCCTAACCCTGAGGTTTTCAGGTTTAGAGTCGAATTCCTTAGCGGGCAGCTCCTGAAAAATTGCAATAAGTATCCCCAATGATCGCTGCTAGACTGCCTTTTCCTCAAGAATCTTTGCTAGCCTGCCCTTTCCTAAACAATCTATGCCACCCAACCCCAATTCCCAAATGATCGCTGCTAGCTGGCCACTAGTTCCTCAAAAATCTCTGCTAGCCTGCCCTGCGTACCTCGTCCGGTTCCGGCAACTGGAATCGACTTTTCGGCGTGTCCGTATGCAGCGGCTTCACGGTCTTGCGCAAAAAGTTGACGTTGCCCCCGTCGCGGGTGCCGTGCTCCACGACGATCTCCTGAATTTTCAGGCTAAGCCTAAGCCACAAGCTAAGCCTGAGCCCTATCTAGGCCTAAGCCTAAGCCCGAGCCGAAGCCTAAGCCTAAGCCTAAGTCTAAGCATGAGCTTGAAAAACCCACATCCCGGACGAGCTGCTTCTTCTCAGCGGAGACCTCTTCCTGAAAGGATGGTTAGCTTTCAGAGCCTAAGAAAACCAAAGAATTGATTAGCTATATGGATTTTGGCTTCCCATTTCCTTTAAACTTAAAAACCAAGCGGTTGTAGACTTGATCAAAATTTTAAAGGGTCCAACAAGCCGCGGTAAAACTGGTGAAAAGCTCTAAAAAGCGGGTGGTAGCTTACATTTCTTGACCTGCGGCAGCTGCGGTAGACGCAGTAGATGAGGGTGGCCAGGAGCAGGAGCAGCAACAGCAAGCCAATGGTGACCAGCCTAAAATGTGCAGCTAAGCCTAAGCCGAAGTCCAAGCTGAACCTAAGCCGAAGCCTAACCCTAAGCCTAACCCTAAGCACAGCCCAAGCCCAAGCCTACAACTAAGCCTAAATCCAGCCTAAGCCTTAGCCTAAGCCAAGCCTTGGCCAAAGCCTAAACCCGAGCCTTACGTAGTGATCCACGGCTCCTCGGAAGGCTCGGGCTCGAGCAGGTCATCGTCGTAGTCGTCGTGCTCAGTCTGAAAACTGGGAAATACGTTTGAAAAGCTCAACTTTGTTTCCGTGTTAACCTAGCCAATCTATCGATTCTAGCTGGAGTTAAATGGCGTAACCAGATCGAAGGTACATTAACACCGCGCCAGGAGGGTTAGAAAGGAGAGAGAGAGAGAGAGAGAGAGAGACAGAGAGAGCGAGAGAGAGAGACAGAGAGCGAGAGTGAGATTGTTAGTACGTTACAACACATCATAAACCGTACAGAAATCCAGGCGACCACCTTGGTGGGCTCGGGGGTTGACGGGTCGCTGGTCAGCCGGTCGAGAATCTCGTCAACCTTCTCCTCAGGACCCTCCACGAATTCGGCCTGCAATCAACGGGGTTGGCCCACAATTTTCCGCACATGGCCTCTGCTAGCCCGTAAAAGCCTAGTGCAGGAATTCTGTCGAAAAAGCCTTTAAAAAATCGAACTCGGGTGCCCAGCTTGGCGTCGCGGTGCCTTAGCCACCGCGCTACAGCTAGATTGAAAGGAATTCGGGTTAAGACAGTCACAAAGGCTGGTCGGGGGAAATGCTGCTTAAAATGAGGCAGGCCAAGGTGAAGCCTAAGCCCAAACCTAAGCCAGGTCTAAGCCTAAGCCTAAGCCCAAGCCTAAGCCTAAGCCTAAGCCTAAGCCTAAGCCTAAGCCTAAGCCTAAACTTAAGCCTAAGTCTAAGCCTAAGCCTAAGCCTAAGCCTAAGCCTAAGCCTAAGCCTGGGCCTAAGCCTAAGCCTAAGCCTAAGCCTAAGCCTAAACTTAAGCCTAAGTCTAAGCCTAAGCCTAAGCCTAAGCCTAAGCCCAAGCCTAAGCCTGGGCCTAAACCTAAGCCTAAGCCTAAGCCATAGCCCGCTTACACCCTCCTCATCGAACCACGACACGACAGTGGCGGTGCGGATCCCGTTCAGCTCAAAGATGGGGTCCTCCGTAGTCGTAGTGGTAGTAGAGGGGGAGGTGAACGTGGTCGTGACGCCGGGAATATCGACAGAACGGCCATGCTGCAAAAGCCAGGCGGTTAGGGCTCGGAATTAGTCAAGGAAACGGCATGACGCTTGGATAAAAATCAAGGTTAAAAAAATCAAGGATTAAAATTCAATAAAAATTAGAATTCAAAGTTATATGTAAAAATTAAAAAGAGGAGAGAAGTTCCCAAATTGACTTTGCTAGCCTGCCTTTTCTCAAAGAATCTCTGCTAGCCTGCCCTTCCTAAAAAATTTCTGCTAGGCTGCCGCTTACCAGCTCGCGGTCGGCCGGCAGGACGTAGACGGGCAGCGGGGTGTGGATAGTCGCATCGGTAGTCGATCCCTTCGGCAAAAATTCCTTCTGCTGCTCCGCCTAAATTCCATGATTTCGCTTGAGTACTGTATACGTTTCTGGCATGCTTGGCTACTACTATAGGGGTTACTGTAAGGTTATGGTGGGGCATTAAATTGCAAAAAAAGCGGGAAGAAAATACAGTAAGATTGTAAAAAAACATTTTACTTCAGAAAACGCTTTATCAGAAAATAAGGAATTGAAAATCGAAAATAGGAAAGTGAAAGATACAGTAATTTCAAGCAAAAATATATGGAAATGCAACAGAAAATAAAAGGATTCAGCAGAAAAAGTCGAAAAACTGAAAATATTAAAATGTCGAAAATGCGAAATTGTACAGTAATTAGGATGGGAAAGAAATATACACAGTAAGATGCGAAAATAAAAGAGAAAAAATTAATGAGGAAGTATTAAAATACAAAAATAGGAAGGCACAGTATAAAACAAAAACAAATAAAAAATCCAAAAAATCAAAATCATACCTCAAGAAGCTCCGCATTTTCCTCTTGACGTTCTGTGGGTTCAGAATCTACGTCTCTTTCCGCTACCGTAATCCCTCGGGTTACGGTAGTGGTCGCTGCCGACGTTTGGGTTACGGTACTTCGCTGCAGGACCTCGTTTTGCGAGCGGGTTACGGTATTGTCACCTGGCTCTCCAGATTTTGTAGTTTGTAACGCCTCGTCATTTGGAAAGGAGGGTAGTTTCGTTATTTCCCAAGAATTTGGGGTTACGGTAGGTCGGGAATTCTCATTTTTTGCTACCGTATACCTTGCTACAGTAGCCTGCTCTTCTTCGGAATACGCTTCGAACGTCATTACGATCTCCGGGAATACTGTAGTTTGTCGTTTTTCATATTCCGGGTCCGAAATTGACGACTCCAGGCTGGTATCCGGTTCAATCTCGAAAACGTGCTCAATTTCGGGTACGGTAGCCGGTGATACGGTAGTTTTTAGCCGGGCCCATTTTTCGACTTCTTCAGAATTTTTCGGAATTTTTGTAAATGTGATTTCTAGCTTCTGAATTTCTATCGTACGGTCAGAGGCTACTGTAGACTCGGCTACCGTAATTTCGGCGCTTCGCTGTGCCGTGGTTACGGTAACTTCGGATACTGTCGGCTGTAGCGTAGCGGAATTTTTGCTTTTTACGGTGCTGGCAGGTGTGGTTTGTAGCTTTGCAGAAACCTCGGATTCCTCTACCATAGTCGGAAAAGTCGTGATTTCTTCAGAATCGATTTTTCCGGGTACTGTAGATTTCGGTGTGGTTTGGAGTCCATCGGAATTACCGTAATCTGGATCTATCGTGGTTGATTCCTCACCGTAATTAGGATTCCGGCGTACTGTAAGCGCAACTGTAGTTTGTGGCACCTCGGAATCATCGTAATCTGGATCTATCGTAGTTGATTCCTCAGCGTAAGTAGGATTCCGGCGTACTGTCGGCGGATCTGTCGTTTGTAGTCCCTCAGAATCCTTCGAATCAGAAGCTACAGTAGTCGAAAAAGCCCTAATTTCCTCAGAATCAATTTTTATAGGTACGGTAGACCCGGATGTAGTTTGTAGCGTCTCGGAATCCTTGGAATCCGAAGCTTCCGTAGCCGAAAAACTCCGGCTTTTTTCGGAGTTCATTTTTCCGAGTACGAGAGCCTTCTGTGTAGTTTGTAGTCCATCAGAATCCGTATTTTCCGCTTCTACCGTAACGGTCGTCTCTTGGAGCTGCGTGGAAAACGTGATATTTTCCAGTTGTAGCGTCCCGGAATTTTCCGTCGGGGATGTCGTGGTGTTGACGAGACTTTTGGGCTCTCGCTGCGGGACCGTCACCTTGAACGGCTTCGGACGGGTTTCCTGAAAAGCAAAAAATACAATATCAGATGCAAATTAAGCGGAAAAAAGGAAAAAGGACAGCAAAAATAAAGAAAAACGATTAAGGGGAAATATTAAACAGATTTGCGTAAAAAAATAGAATAAACTCCTTTATATTGTCTTTTTAATAATTTTAAATTTTAAATTGCTTTGGAAAATGGCAAAATTTCCTTCTTTTTGTTATAAATTAACTCCCAGCTCGCTGGCGCAGTGGTAGTGGGCTAGGATATTGCGCAAGGGGTCCGGGTTTCGGAACCTTACCTGCTTCTTAGGCTTAGCTTAGGCCTGGCTTAAGCTTAGCTTAGGCTTAGCTTAGGCTTAGCTTAGGCTTAGCTTAGGCTTGGCTTAGGCTTAGCTTAGGCTTAGCTTGGGCTTAGCTTAGGCTTAGCTTGGGCTTGGCTTAGGCTTTGCTTAGCCTCAAAACACTCACAATCTTCTCATCCAGTTGGTTTTGGTTGAGGAAGAGGTATTCGAGGTAGTCGCCTTTCAGGGTGCCGTTTTGGAAGCTCAGCAGGTGGCCTGAAAAAAAGAAAAAAAATTGATATAAATTGAAAATTAAATCAATAATGAATACAATATAGAACCTTCAAATTTCCTTACCTTCGCTCCACTCCTCGATGACCTGGTTACAGTAGCGGGGCTCACAATGGCAACGGAGCTCCTGAAAAAGAAAAAAAATTCAGTTTTGCCCCGATTCCAAATAGTCTCTGCTAGCCTGCCCTTTCCTAAAGAATTTCTGCTAGCCTGCCCTTTCCTAAGGAATCTCTGCTGGTCCTCCTCACCTTTTCCGCGCCGCCTCCAACGAGGATGCAGTATTTGTGCTTCCTGATGTGGGGCTCGGTGAAGTGCTCCCAGTGCGCGTACATATCCTCACAGCCCAGCGCTCGGACTCCACGATGGGCTAGAAAAAGAATGTAAGGCTGAAGCTTAAACGTAAGCCTAAGCCTAAGCCTAAGCCTAAGCCTAAGCCTAAGCCTAAGCCTAAGCAAAGCCTAAGCCTAAGCCTAAGCAAAGCCTAAGCCTAAAGCCTAAAGCCTAAGCCTAAGCCTAAGCCTAAGCCTAAGCCTAAGCCTAAGCCTAAGCCTAACCTAAGCCTAAGCCTAAGCCTGCCTAAGCCTGCCTAGCCTAAAGCCTAAGCCTAAGCCCAAGCCTAACCTAAGCCAAGCTAAGCCTAAGCCAACCTAGCCTAAGCCCAGCCTAGCCTAGCCTAAGCCTAAGCCTAAGCCTAACCTAAGCCTAAGCCTAAGCCCCGGCCTGCCTAAGCCTAAGCCGCCTGGGCTAACCTACCTAAGCCTAAGCTGCTAACCTAGCCTAGCCTAAGCCTAAGCCTAAGCCTAAGCCTAAGCCTAAGCCTAAGCCTAAGCCTAACCTAAGCCTAAGCCTAAGCCTAAGCCTAAGCCTAAGCCTAACCTAAGCCTAAGCCCAAGCCTAAGCTTAACCCAAATTCATACCGAAAATTGCCCGATTATTGCTGTCCTTCGGGAGTCTCATGGCGAAGGTGCAGGGCTGGTGGCAGAGCTTGGCCATGCGGGTGATGGCTGGGTAGATGGGGCACGCCTTGATGCCGTTCTGGGGGGAGAACAGCCAGGGGGCTTCTTGACAACCATAATCTTTCTGAAAAAGAGCGTTAGGGAAGGTGAGATAAAGAGAGAGAGAGAGCGAGAGAGAGAGAAAGTGAGAGAGAGAGTGAGCTAGATAGGACGATAGAAACTCACATTCCAATACGCGCGATCATGACATGTGGTGCACGTGTACTTCTCCTCGGCCACGCTGAAAACAGGAAAATAAACATAAATATGGATCCAAAAACAAATACCAAATTTCAAAATTAGCAACTTACGCATCGGCAGCGGCTAAAGTCAGGATCAGGCTGACGCCGGCTACAAGGTAACGCAACATCTGGAATTTCGAACGATATGATGACACAGGAAGAGAGGGGGAGAGAGAGAGAGAGAGGAGAGAAGGAGGGAGAGAGAGAAAGTGTATTAAACTCTGAGAAAGCAACCCCAACCGAAGAAACAATCACCAAAATGATGGCTGGAGGAAAAGCCAGAAAATGAGGTTGTTTACGGTGATGAGTGAACGGACGGAGGGCACTGACTGTCTGTAGGAAGGGGGCGTGGCTTATTGTTGGTGGGGAAAACGGCCAGAGTATGGACACGGAATCGAGGATCGATTGCTGATGATGGATTTTCTTGCAAATAAAATGGGTGGGAGGGCTAGCAGAGATTCTTGGGGAAAGGGCAGGCGAGCAGAGATTTTTTAGGAAAAGGCAGGCTAGCAGAGAAGATTCTTTAGGAAAGGGCAGGCTAGCAGGGATTCTTTGCGAAAGCAATTTCCACGAGAATCTCTGCTAGCCTGCATTGCCTTTCTAGCGAATCGATGCCAAAAGACGGCCAATCTCTTGGAACGCACAGCTGCGCGAGTTTCGGCTGTTTTTGATGATTTTCGAGGCCCTCCCCCCTCTTTGGGATGCCGATTCCGCGAGACGACTGTTGACGTTAGCGGTAACTGTTTTTTAGGGCCCGGAAATCAAAGGGCCCTTCCGGCGGGCCGGTTCTCAACCCCATTTGCATGCCGAAAATGGGTGGAAGGAGTGGACAAAGCATCGTTTTGAGGCGCAAGCCCTTTGGAGGGTTGCGCAACAGATAACGAGGAGTGAGGGCGGAAATGGCTTGAAATAAGCGAAACGATAGCTCTGTCTCTCTCTCTCTTCTCGCTTTTGTTCTATGGTCGCCCTCTCCATTCCGAAATGATCCCTGCTAGCCTGCCATCTGGACAGGTAGCGAGACGATCCCTTATGAAGAATTCAGGATGCTCCCCCATACATTGGTTGATACCAAAAGAAGCCTGGGAAATTGGGGTGACTCATTTTGGTACTATGCGGTTGATGAGAGAGAGAGAGAGAGAGAGAGAGAGAGACAGCGAGAGCGAGCTACCAGGGGTCTCACTGTCTAGACATAACATCTCGCTAGAAACGGCGGATACCGGAAAAGCCGGAAACATGGAAAATGGGACCTTTACGTCAGGAAAAGCCCAGATCTATCCAAAATGATCTATGCTAGGCTGCCCTTTCCTAAAGAATCTCTGCTAGCTGGCCCCCTGTCGCGTGTCTGGCCTTTCCGGGGGTCAAAGTGCGCGAATCGGTGACGCGTGGCGGGTGAGATGAGTAAGCATGTTTTTCCTCTCGGGTTGCCAGATGCTGCATAAATTACGAAAAACAACGAGTTGAGAATTGGATGAATCAGCCAGGGCAAAGAGAGAGATAGAGGGAGAGAGAGAAAGATGGAGAGAGAAAAACAGATTGAAACTCTCAAACTCGATAAAACTCGATAAATCAATTTATCATGCGGATTCAATCTTGAAAATCGAAAGAAACGTGGTTTGGAGATGCCCGGAAAGCCGGAGTGGCCCAAGAAATCTAAAAAACGCATCAAGAGGTGAATGGCCGGAAATAGCTTTTAGCTGGAGCTCCCTTCTACCTGGTCGGCCATCTGATTGCACTTGGAGAGATCATCGATTCAAGCTCTCTCTCTCTCTCTCTCTCTCTCTCTCTCTCTAAGCTAACCGGTAGTTAAAATGGATCAAGTTAATTATCAGAGTCCATAGTATTGGTGTGTACTTTTCTTGTTTTGCCCAAAATCTTTAGGGTTGCTTTTGGGGGTCAAGAAATGAGAAGCTGAGCGTTTACAATGGGAACAGAGGGAGGGGATACGGTGGCGCGTGGGAAAGCACGAGACTGATAAGCCAAAGCAGGGGCAAAAGACGAGTTCAGGCTAGCAGAGATTCTTTAGGAAAGGGCAGGCTAGCAGAGATTCTTTAGGAAAGGGCAGGCTAGCAGAGATCTTTAGGAAAGGGGCAGGCTGCGAGATTCTTGGAAAGGGCAGGCTAGCAGAGATTCTTTAGGAAGCGCAGGCTAGCAGAGATCTTTAGGAAAGGGCAGGCTAGCAGAGATTCTTTGGAAGGGCAGGCTAGCAGAGATTCTTTAGGAAAGGGCAGGCTAGCAGAGATTCTTTAGGAAAGGGGCAGGCTAGCAGGGATTCTTTAGGAAAGGGCAGGCTAGCAGAGATTCTTTAGGAAGGGCAGGCTAGCAGAGATTCTTTAGGAAGCGCAGGCTGCAGAGTTCTTTAGGAAAGGGCAGGCTAGCAGAGATTCTTTAGGAAGAGGCAGGCTAGCCGAGATTTTTTAGGAAAGGGCAGGCTAGCAGGTTCTTTAGGAAGGGCAGGCTAGCAGAGATTCTTTGGAAAGGGTAGGCTAGCAGATTCTTTGGAAAGGGCAGGCTAGAGGCTTTAGGAAAGTGCAGGCTAGCAGGTTCTTTGGAAGGGCAGGCTAGCAGAGATTCTTTAGGAAAGGGCAGGCTAGCAGAGATTCTTTAGGAAAGGGCAGGCTAGCAGAGATTCTTTAGGAAAGGGCAGGCTAGCAGAGATTCTTTAGGAAAGGGCAGGCTAGCAGAGATTCTTTAGGAAAGGGGCAGGCTAGCAGAGATTCTTTAGGAAAGGGCAGGCTAGCAGAGATTCTTTAGGAAAGGGTAGGCTAGCAGAGATTCTTTAGGAAACGAGAGGACGTGCAAATATATTCCAAGTTCCAGAAATTTCGGGGGCCAGATCCGTAACGTTTGATAAGAAAACTCGGGGAGAACCCCAGCCGTGTATCGAAATCAGATGCGCCGATCTGCCCCTCAAATGACATTCCAGAAAAAAATATCACACACCCGACTGCCCGCCGCCATCAACCCACTTTTGCACTTCACCGGGCACCGATGAGTCAACTGGGGTCGGATTCACTTCGATGCATTTTCTGGATGAATTTTAAGGAAAATATGCTGGGAAGAACCGGAAATTGTCAAAAATTCCCAAAAAATATGCTGGTCTGCCTAGCTAGCTTGTAAGCTTAAGCCTAAGCGCAGGCCTAAGCCTAAGCCTAAGCCTAAGCCTAAGCCTAAGCCTAAGCCTAAGTCTAAGCTTAAGCCTAAGCCCAAACCCAAGCCATTGTTTAAGCAAAAGCCTAAGTCTAAAAGCCTAAGTTTAAGCCTAAGCCTAAGCAAAGCCTAAGCCTAAGCCTAAGCCTAAAGCTAAGACTAAGCCTAAGCCTAAAGCTAAGACTAAGCCTCAGCCTAAGCCTAAAGCTAAGCTAATTCCGGACCCTCGATCCCTTTCCCAAATGATCTCTGCTAGCCTCCCCCATCTCTAAACGGCCAATTTCCCCCCACCCGCAGCTCTTTTTCAGGCGCCCATGACAAATTTGCGGGCCGTGAAAATGGACGCGCACAAAAAGCAGGCCCCCCGAAAAAACGGAGCAGCTCATTAGGCGGACCGGGCTGACCTTTTGGTCCTATTCATTAGGGCCCATTCGGGGCCCAAAAGAGCCCTTCTGACAGCAGACTGAATAAATTTTCGCCGTTGCATTTGGTCGGTGTACTTTTTTGACGGGGGAATGTGATGTGTTCCCGGAGCGGAGTTCGGTCGATTTCCCTAGGGATCTTTGCTGGCTACCCAGGTTTTTGTAGTCTTCTCTAAGACTCACTGCTAGCCTGCCCAGCTCTGGCCGGTTATCGCTAAAAACCGATTTTTTCGAAAAAGCTGGTAATTATTTCTGGCTATTTTTCGCAATGAGCATGCAGCTTTTGAATAATTTGCCAAAAAAAGATCATTTTCGGGTTGGTGTCAGGCAATTTTGATAATAAAAAGTATTGAAAAGTTTCAATGTAGACGTCATTTTCGTAAATCAAAAATCCTCTAGGTAGAAAAAGGGCTCTCTTTATTTTTGCTTAACATCTCGGGGTCAAAACCCGTCAAAACCTCGGCGAAATCGTCAAAAAAACTCTATTTACGCTGTAACTTTTTTGTTTTACAATATTTTGCTTAGAAAATTCGGCTGTATATAGCTTTTATGGGTCGCAATCGCTCGTAAAATTTTAGTCCCGATCGGATAGAAGACGGCCAAATGCCGAGGGGGGGGGCTTTTTTGGCGACAACCTGTAGAACTGTTTAGCGCCTCTCTGACTTAACCGTATCCCTAAAGAACTTCTGCTAGCCTTCCTAACAAAACCTTAACGTTCCGCAAATGTCTTCAGGCGTCATACCTCTGTCTGTCTGTCCGTTTCTCCGCATGTCCGCCATCTCGGATTTCTAATAAATTGGGGCTGGCCTCGGGCCCATGGCCATGGAAATGACGACAATCGGGGTGTCGGATGGCCGATGCTCAGAGGTAAATAGATGCACGATAAAATATGGGCTTTCCGGGGCCGGAATCGTGTTTTTTTGTGGGACGGAGCCAAAGCCTAAGCTAAGCCTAAGCCTAAGCCTAAGCTAAGCCTAAGCCTAAGCCCAAGTCTATGCTCAGCTAAACCCAAGCCTAAGCCTAACCTGAGCCTACGTCTAAGCCTGCGTGCACCTTCTAAATTCCCCAAGAATCCTTGCCAGCTTGCCCTTTACCCGCCCCCTCCAAATATCCAAAACTCGAAAGTTCTCCATATTGGCCAAATCAGTGGCGCGAAAATGTCAAGGGGACACCTCCCTCGGAATTGG